TATCTGTTGTGGATTTCTGATCGCATGTTTATGCCGTTTCGCTTCACTTCACTAATTTCTCGATGTAGGGAAGAAGCTTTTCACAAGCGATTATTCTTTGGATTGCAATGTTTCGGACTTTGTTGATTCTCTACACCAATCCTTGAAAGAACGCTCATTCCTGCCTCTTGTGTTTTCGATCCCGTTCTTTTAGTCAGATAAATATCTGGCACTCATTGTAACGAGGCGTAGATGTAGCTAAAGAGAATGTGTTTTGCACTGCTGTACTCGAATAACATTTTTGTTTCTTTCCAGTCTTATTTTCAGACATTTATGAGTGCCACACCCGAGGTACTGGCGTAGTCAGCTGTACTTCAATAACCATCATACAGTGTCTGGTGCCCTTATCGATTTAACGTAAGAAATATTGCACTAAAACACTGGTATTTGGCAGTGGAGGTTAGAATGTTTGCAGATGCTTTATCCCTGATGTTCTTTGTTGTAACGTTCACGATTAGTTCAGTACTCTTGCTTGGTGTCATTTCTGAGGTTGGAAGAATAAAACACAGTTCAGAGAAGTTTACTGAAGCTACTGGTAGCGTACCAGGCTCATCTGTTTAACGCTGATTGCGAAACCTTTGTACAGCTGGCCATTAGCGTTATTTGCTTTATTATGTTTTATTAGCCGACGGCTTCATAACTTCGTACCCAAGTTGTAATTTTCACTTCATTGCCGTCAAGTCGAGAGGACATGAAGGGTTTGAGTACTCTTGATTGGTATTTATCCATTCTGCCACGAGAGGGTACGATTAAATGCTTAAGTTAGAAGGTGCCCTACGCAGCTAACATTTCTCATCGTATTGTAAGGCTGATTTACTTCCAAGCAGGTCATCCATTCAGGCAGTATCACATTACTTCACTGTTCAAGGACGCCCATGGTTATGTCTTTGAAACAGTTGCTAATGGCAGATTGGCCATTTGGTCGATGAGTTATTGTCTTTAGCAGTAGAGAACTGCCAAATGATCGATTCATATCCATATTGTTTTGTTATGAATTTCGGCAGCCTTACAGCTAGCCTCCGACCACTGATCTAAATATTTCTCCTTATAAGGTTAATAATAGGTCTTGAGTTTACGAACGAACGGCTTCTCGTCGATAATAAACCTCCATTTTATTTACTCTACCATATTATGTGCTGGCCATAAGTTTGACAGTTGACGGACCGCCAGGCTTGGCAGTTTCCTTGCGTGTGATTAAACCATCTCAACTTTCTAGCCCGGTGGCGTAAAAATATCTTTAATAATGTGAATGAGGCATTTCAGTCCCTGAAATTCGATTGAAAATCCATGGTGTGTAACAAATTCGTGATAAAACTGTACTTTTAATAATGTTTCGAAAATGAGCGATTGTTTTGCCTTCGTTGGTCAGTTTAAACGTCGTGTTCTTGCTAGATGCCGTGTCGGAGAGCTACAGCGAGAGTATGGATGACGTATCGCTCGAATCGATGGAAACTCCTCGAAGTAGGTTAAACTCGAATAGTTTCGCTTTGATCAACGGCAGCCTGATGACGTGCTCTGCAGCCGATGCCGACCGGTTGTCAAAACTTAGGATGATCCAGAAGACGAGACCGAAGCCACCACGCAAAAATCCCAGAAGCGTCGTTGTTTTGGCCCCCGTCTCAGCGTGGTCTGATTCAAACGTTATCGACTACACGCTTGGCGTCGATTCTTTCTTTGAGTCGAATGTCGAAAGCAATCGGTATTAAAGATTTTCTTCACCATTCGTCGGCCAATCCACCATTATGCATCGTATTTTAGG